CCCACTATTGCCAACTACTTTCTTATAGCATTATAATCATTCAAGGTCCATTGATTAGTGAGAACTTATGGAACTCTGTTCTTTGTTTCTGTGGTAAATCACCGAGTATGATCGACTCCAAATCCACCCGAGTTGCTGCCAAGTCCATATATTTGTCCTTCTTTATGGCTGCATAATATTCCATCGTGTATATGTCCCACATTTTCTTTATCTAGTCCAGCTTCGATGGGCAACATGGTTGGTTGCATGTTTTTGTTATTGTGAATAGAGCTGCAACAAACATACGTGCAATCTCCCCCCCCATGTAAGTCATATTCATACTTCAAATAGAAGTTTCTTTGTTCTGAGGGAAATAATAATTTCTTACTTCCATGAACTTATCATTTTAATACATTCTAATTAACAACAGGAGCCAATATTTTTCAAGATTGTGTATCCTTGGCCAAAGAAAAGTTGTACATTGTTTTCTGATCTGTTATTAATATAACTAGTAGTATAATAACTAATTTGACCAATATTTTCTGATAAAATTTCATTTAAAAAAATGTGCTTGACCAACTAAGCAATTACAAATCTAAGCAAGCCTCACAAAACTGGATTTCTCAGGGCTTGGCCCCTTCTGGAAATGTCCGTCTGTGAGCACACTCAGACTAATCACTGTCCTCCCCATGGGACCTGCCTCTGTTCTTTCAGGAGCATAGCTCTGCCACCCTCAAATCACCACTCTGTTGTTTGTTTTTTAATTAAAAAAAAAAAGTTGTTGTAATGTGCTAAGATATATAAGCACAAAATCTACCATCTGAACCATTTTTAAAAGTACAGCTCAGTAGTGTTAAGTACAGAATATTATGCAATTATCACCATCCACCTCCAGAATTTTCATTCCCAAACTGAAACTCTCACCTCTCAAGCACTAAGTCCCATTCCAAGTTCCTCACAGCCCCTGGCAGCCACCATTCTATCTATGAGTTTGACCACTCTAGATACATCATGTAAGTGGGATCATCTGATACATGTCCTTTTGTGGCTGTTTTATTTCACTCAGCATAATGTCTTCAAGATTCATATATGTTATATCATGTGTAAGAATTTCTTTGCTCTTCAAGGCTGGATGACATTTTATTGTATGGATACACATTTTTTTTATTCGTTTATCAGTCAATGGATATTGGGGTTGCTTCTGCCTTTTGGCTGTTGTGAACAATGCTGCTGTGAACATGGGTTTACACATATCTGTTTGAGCCCTTTTGGGGGGTGTACACTCAGA